TTTATGTATTATCAACTATTCTACCAGTATCTATTAAGTGTTGATTCGATTCTCATGGTCCCTTTTTACTATTATGTTAAGAAATTAACAAATAATATCAGTCCCTTTTCCCCTTTGGTTCAGAGCATGATTCAGTATGCAGCTAGCTAGTCAAAAAGATCTTTGTATTTTGTATAATGAGTGCAACTTTTGTTGTGTCATTTTCTAGCTGAGTCTTTACTCTTTAGTACTGTTGTTGTTTTGACTATTGACTTGATATGGGAAAGTGCTTGCTTTTACTGCAGAAGAGATCTTTCTATCCTGTTTTAGATTTCCCAAAGTTAAGATGGAATTATTGAATATAAGTTTTTTTCTTAATGGTGTAAAAATATTTATGTCGTGTTAGTCAGGGGCGTAATTAGGGGACGCAAAGGGGCTTCATCTGATATTCTCTTTGTCGGAGAATTATAATTTAGTCATTGAATCTCCCTTGGATTCTTTATGTGTTTACTTCTTTATATTTTGAATTCTGTTAGTGAAAATTCTGACTTGGTCAGTGTTCGTTAGTACCAACAGGTTAGTCATACTGGGTATAAGAATATAAATTCAGAAGAGGTGGGCACACATTGTAAGAGAGACCTATAGTTAACTAGCTTAATTTAAGATGCTATTGCTTAATAACTTCACTTTATACTTATGGAGTGGAACTGATTATGTTATGATCCGATTCTTTGTCACGAACCTTAGGCTCTGATCCATTTCTTAAATATTGTTGATAAGAAGAATTTTTGAGTTTTGGCTCTGCTTGTAATAGTTCGAAGGATATGGTAATATGTCCAAAAGATATCTAATGATATGAAACATCTGCTTATTTTAGCTCATGTAGCAAAAAAATGTTAAACAGCAACAAAGTCATGCTTAATTGATAACCCAAGAAAAAACATTATTCAACAATTACTTCAAGCATACATGCTTCGAGCTACTTAAACATAACTTTCTTGGGAAGCGTTACAAACTAAAAAAAATGAAACTGTTTTGTTGACTGCAGCATTTCAGGTCCAGGCATCGAGCGCTAGAGCAACTACTATAGGACTTCTTACGGTGTGATGCCCATTCTCTTCCACCCAAGTGATGGAACCAGATTGTGCTTGGTCGTCTGCAATGCCTTTGTAACGTATGGTAAGAGTGTAGTCCTGCTTCTGATTTTTCTTCTCAAACACCAAGGTTTGTGGAGAGATAGAAATTGTCGAGTTTTTTGGTGCTGTCACTTTTGCTTTGTAATTAGCAGCACCAGGTCCAACATTTGTGACTGTCCTCCTGAATTTCTGCCCCAACCAAGTGTAGTCCTCATTTGGGTTAAAGAGAGCAATAAATGATGGGTAATTCATATCATCGAACGGATTTGAGCAGTTGTGCTTAGCTGATGATCTAGCAATTGTTTTGAATTGCTTTTCTGTGAGATTCATGGAGCAGAGAAGATTCACATAGTCTTGTGGAGTTGCATCATATATCAGGCCTGGATCAACTGCACGGTTTGGATCTACGAGTCCAGCTCCCATGTCTAATGATGTAGCATCCCTTGTAATGAAGTAATCCGTGGTCTTGATGGGTTTGTCAGTATTATCCAAAGGGTTGGCAGTGGTCATCATGGCAGATCGAATAGCTGA